GGAAATGTTGTTGAATAACTGTTTGGTTAATTTTTTGACCAAATACAATATTTATCAAGTTATCAATTTTATTCACACCGAGTGTTAGCAAGGAAGATGCAGTAAAAAGCTTGACCAAATTTGTAATAAATAAGTTAGAAAATGTTTAGGGGTTTTCGTCGATTTAGCCAAGGCTTTCAAAACCGTCTCGATTCCTATGTATGGAAACAAATCGGTAAATATCGGAATTAGAAATTCTGCTCTGTCTAATTTTAAAGATTCCTTAAGTGACCGAGTACAGAGTAAAAATTTCATCACTTCTGATGCTTATGCCACTTTTGAAGTCCATCAGTGAAGTATCCTAGGACCAAGTTTTGACCTAAAAATTTTCTAACGCGTTTAGTGATGTAAAATATCTTATAAAATTGCCTTTATTTTGCTTATTTCGTATCGCATAATATAAAAGTCAGGAAAAAAAGTAATATTAATATGTTTATCATTCTCAATAGACTTTTGGAGAAGGAACGAGTTTAACAATGACTTAAAAGCCCAGAAACCATGACAATATATATTAAAAAAAACGTATTTTACACATTTTGTTTCACAGACTAAGAAAATCCTATTAATTTATCATGTGGTTTATGAATGTTCAAAATAAACAATTGTTTTTTGTTACTTATCTTATTATTTTATGATCAGATATGCTTTTTTGTGGTTTTATACTATGGTGTGGAGGTTTTTTTTTCCACGCCATAGTATACCATAGTGTATAGTTGACAGGTCTGAAAAACTTATTTACTTTATAGCATTTTTTATTTTATGTAACAGTAGTTGTAGGTAGACGCGACCTGTAAAAAGAATCAAATGACAGGTCAATCAATGTATGGAAAGTGGGCATACTTCCTTATGTTTATGACTTTTGTGGTATGCGTATAATAAATTATAAAATATATGATATATTACCGAGACACTAGGCTGAAGTTCTGGAGGCTAATGAAATGGGTCTCCAGTGATGAGCACATTGGCTTATCAGCTTACTTACATTAAACGTATCTAAATTCATGTACTTAGTTCGTCGTAAGGTATTAATGTGTTTAGTATCGGCGTTTTAAAATACATGAATTTAAATTGGTGAAAATAAACAGCAAAAAATATATACGCAGAATCAAAAAGATGTCAACGCCAGTTAATAATAAATAATTAGCCAACTCCTTCGCAGCGCTTTTGCCCTGGTGCTTTCAAACTATTCGCCAACTGAAAAGGTACTGTGAACTTCTGTTGTTTGTTGACTTTATTAAATCGGTGCTTGTAAATGAACGCCATCTTTTGTCGTCAAAAACAAATCCCAACCTCTAACTAATACCGGTTTAAAAGGAACGCAGAGGCGTTACGCAACCTGTCCATTAGTGGTGGTGCGACCTCAAAGTAAAAATTTCTCGCAGCTCATTATTTACTGGTACAAAGATTAACAAAACTCTTATATTATCTTTTTTTCACAATACAATAAAGCGCTAAGGTAAACATTGTTTTAGAACATTTGTCTGCTTTTAAAACATTCGCAATGTAACAATCGTCTGAAAATTTTCTGCTACGTTAAGTTTGTATCGTGATGAATCTGATTGAACGTCGATTCATCATTACAGCCCGTCACAAGTCCAATGCTGAACATAGGCCTCCTCCGAAGAATTTCACAAACCAGGGTCTTGAGCCACTTTCAACCATTAACTTCCTACATGTTTTACCAGGTCGTCACTCGATATAGTTAAGGGACGCCCTACACTTCGCCTGCCGGTACGAGGCTGCCGTTAGAATGCAGTTAAAAAAGAAAGTTCTTAATATTATGGAAGTCTCAAGGAACTTTGCTCGTGTTTAAAACTTTTCAAATGCTCTTTCTGCTGTGCCCCGTAAACAATGTTACGGAATAAAATAATTCAGCTTCCATTGTTTTCACTCCACAACAGATTTAATATAAAACAACATTAATTTTAGACCTATATATTTGTTATCTAGATTTAGTTCAAACCAACCTTGTCAGCCTCGAGCACAGGAGCAGAGTTTCCAGCCTCTCGGTATTCTTTATGATTCTTATTGATATGATCTTCGATATTATTGATGATTCTTTTTCATAAGAAGATATACTTTATATTCAGTGGTGGTTTCATATAATATAATTTGAAGAAAAAACCAGGATTGTGATTGTTTTATTCCTTGATTCGTACATTCAAGCAAAATAGAGACTTCTATGGATTAATTAAAACGTAGTAAACAATAGTTTTTATATCAAATATGTCAAATACCACCGTGAAGAATCGCGGTGTTAGAATATCTACTAACCCATATCGTCCTATGGGCATCGCAAGAGTTAACAGAGGGAAACTTAAACGGGAACTGAGCATCAGGATCTTCCTGATAACAACTCAAAATTATAAAAACTGCAGTTAAAAACCCGACCGCCGAAAACGCGACGCGGAACAAATCGTAAACATAAATTTGTAGAATTGATTAGATTGTTGTTGGGTTGTAGCAGAAAAATAATATTTCCGACTTCTACATGGTGGACAAAGCCACAGGCGAAAGTTAATGTATTATAAAGGTGAACATTTTCTGTGATTTATTTTTATTTATTTATACTTTAGTGACTCAACCTACCTTGTAGTCCACTACCCCCATATCATGCCGTGGGCCTCGTTATGTTATATAGTCATATTATTTTTAAATGTTAACACCCTATTATTTATGAGACAGTAGCATTTTAGGGTTCAAACTGCAAACTTAAAAAATCGTAAGTACTAATACGCCATTCCACTATAGGTAAAGAAGCACTTCTAAGCGAGCGAAATAATTTTTTTGTAAAATCATATTTTTTAACCTAAGCCTGTTTTATCACGATATCACGTGTAAGTATGTTTTATCACGATTAACTCTTAAGTTACTTACCATCAGCTGGATGTTATACATATTATACCAGCGGATAAGTAAACTTAAGAAGGAAGCCTGATAACGACGCTATGTTGCAGCCTCGTACCGTCACGGTACGAAGTGCTAGGTGACTCCCCCACATCTAGAGTGGTCTGATAAAACTGCATTGTGGCAGTCTATGGTGGAAGCCTATATTTAACATTGAACTTGTGATATACTGTAATGATGATGACGATGATGAAAATTATATGTAATGATAGGTGTTCTTTTACGCCTAGGAGTCAGTTGGGGTAGGTTCCACCTTCTTTACTATTCCTGCCGCTAAATAGCAGTGCACGCTCAGCATCTATATTCATCTTTGTTTGAAGTTGGCTGCACGTATTCAAAAACTGCACTAGTCATTCACTACCGGAAGGACTGATTTTTTTACGTCCATCTGATGGTAAAAATCAAAATGCAGATGAGTTGTTATCCTGACGACTAAAAAACATGTGTTGACAAACTAACATGGAATGCCTCGATTTCATTAAAAAGGGTCTTCGGTTCTCTACACTCATCATACGAGACAGTAGCATTTAGGTACTCTTTTACGCCAGTATCTGTTAATTTTTCCCCGGGGGAGTTGACCCATTTGTGCCACAACCATAACATAGCATTGCTCTACCGCGTGTAATACGAATTCGTTTCTCATATCATTTTTATAAGGAAAAATGTAACTATACGAAGGATATCGTTTTAAAAATAGAACTAAAAAGAAACGAATACAGTGTATCCAACTCAAAACTGTTCACAGTCCTTTTGAACGTCACCCTTATTTAATTATAGAGGAGCGCAAACACCTACCGCGTCTCTCACTCGCGCGTTACAGCTTCGGGGGTTATAATTCAATCACCAAAGCAATCGAGATGTAGACGTTATATTGATGATTCACATTTAAAACGGATCCTAAATTGAATTAATTAAATAGCTCTGTATAAGTTTTACAAAGTCTAAGCGACAGCAAATTTCGATTTAAATAACTAGCTGATTGACGTCATCAGTGTATTGTATAAATAATATCACTAGGTGGTAGGGCTCCTTTCCTGCCTAGAAGTCTGGGACAGTTTTTTATAGGATAGCGCGAAAAACTAGCACACAGTCCACCTGATGTTAAGTGGTTGCTGTGGCCTATAGACATCTTCATCTGTCCTCGATTAGCAATGAAAATGCAGATGCGTTGTCACCCGTGAATACTAAGATGGAATACCTCGTTTTCAGTAAAAAAGGTGTCCGGTTCTCTACACTCACCATACGAATACAGCAGCATTAAGCTACTATTTTATGCTGGTATTTTGTGAGAGCGTGGTCCTTCGACGGTCAACCCATTTGTGCTACAACTACACTACTAATATAACTGCAGCATACATCTACCGTGTACAAAACAACCACATATGAAACAAACCACAATATAACCCTCTCACCTATTTCTGCCGCCAAAAAGCAATGATCGGAAGAATAATACGGTACAATACAATATACATTCATTTCGGGCATCAAGGACTTAAAAATTTAGAACATTTGCCCATAGCGATATATAACTTTTCGATATATACCACAATCATATACTGGTGTAATGTGAACAACATGATTACATAAAAACACCAAAATATGCAAACAAACAGCAACACTATTAATGAAACACCAGCCTCTCAGCAACACGATCTTCCTTCCAACACTAGTAGAATAGCCCAAAGGGCATAGTAACGACAGTGAGACTCGTAGAATCACCGTCTGACCCCTCTTAATCGCCAGCGCGATACTTTTTTGATACCCAACAGTAGTGATAGTTAAAATATTTTTTTACAACACATAACATGACAAAGAACATAAATAACTTATAAAAGGTAAAAGTATGCGAGCGTGCACGTGTGGAGAATACAAGTGTCGGTCAAGTTTAATCCTGCCTGAGAGCAACTTCTAGTGAATATAAACGATACTGCTGTCCGGAGGCGGTTACTTGTTCAATAAATTATCAAGATTGGCTATCTACCCAAAATTATAAGTTAAATCTTGGTTGACATTAATGTATAAAAATAAATTTGATTATTTAAGTATTACAGCAAATGTTAAAGTATTTTTTTAAATCAAAGTTAAATATAGAATATTTTTATTGAAATAAAAAATCTACAACTTAAATCTACATATCGCACATTGATAAGAAGACCGTCACTATACGAAAAATGATGTTTTTCTCTTAGGAGTGCCTCTTAGCGCGGAAAGATACTATTTTTTTGCAAAAACACCTGTCGTTGTAACTATAATATTCATAGGTAGATGGCGTTAGTGTCGAACTGCTTTATCAACAATATTGAGACGATCTGTTATGACAGACCGCCATTTTTTCATTCGTGACTGTGAAGGTAACAAAAACGGTTTCATCTAGTGTATTCCATAGTGACATTTTCTGGTTAAAGGCGATTTAGATTGATCATATTTCGTAAGTACGAATTGACAATAATACGAATACCGTCACTTTTTGATAAGTGTCGTGTATTATGCTATATTATTTTGTAAAAATTGCTATGTTGGGACGACATACTGTAATTTTTATTTTAGTGTCGATGTTCGTGTTACGGAATTTGAACTATTTGTGTCGATTATTAATTCAGGATGTCATTATTCGTTTTGTGTCATTCTTCCCTTAAACCAAACAGAGAGTTTGTATTTAATTGGAACAACATACTAACATTTTTTATTTAGTGTCGCTCTTCGTGTTACGGAATTCAAAGTATTTGAGTCGATTATTGATTCAGGATGTCATTATTCGTTTAGTGTCATTCTTCCCTAAAGCCAAGCGGAGGGTTTGTATTCAATTGGAACAACATACTGACGATTTTTTTATTTAGTGTCACTCTTCGCGTTACAGAATTTGAAACATTTGAGTTGATGATTAATTCAGGATGTGATGGATAATTTTTTGTGTCATTCTTCCTTTTAAGCCAAATAGCAAGCACGGAAAATAACACTGAAACCAACAAAGAATTTTGTTTAGAGTCATTATTAATTGGGATATTTTAATATTGGTTTTGGTTATTCATATAATTTAATGCTTCTAAAGTCAATTAATTAAATGATCTTCCTTTTAGTAATTTTGACCATAATTTGCTTGTTTTCAGACTTAAAATGCCTTTAAAAATGCGAGAATAAACAAACTCAAGAATATTTCTAGAAGACTGCTTGAGGACACACAAGATGGTAAAGAAGATTTCAAAAAAAGAACGTGTCATGGTATCCAGAATGAACCTGTTCATTTAGAAAGCGCTAATACCCCAACGACACACCAGACCTCCAAAAATCATTGTGAATCAACTCGCAATGAAGATGACGTTAACCAAAATGCAAATGAAGATATTTCTAACCACAATCTTGTATTTAATATTGTGCCTTCCCAAGAAATCACACCTAAAGATCACCAGAAAGCTGAACAGGTTTCTTATTACCTTACCTAAAACAGTAGGAGATTCTTACCTTATAATATCAAACTAAGAATACTATTCGGAATACACTACTTACCTTACCACTATTTGAAACAATAAGCGGTTAACTTAAAATAACTAAAAAAGCTTATTGTCTTTTCCCTATTCTTCTCCTAGTCACGCAGCTAAGAATATCACTGCATGATTTATGAGATGCATTTCTTTTACTTATTGTGTTATTTAAAATAATTACTTATTTTAGGAGGAACCCCTTCATGTGGATGAAAACTTGCCTCCAAATGAACAACTTCATGCAGAAAGAAGAAATTCCAGGTCATCTACCTCATGATTTTTCACCTGCTTCAGACGATGACCCAAGTTACTTACCATTAAAACCATCCACTGCAAACCGTCGACGATCAGACTCGTTATATGTTAGATACAGTCCTACACCCCAAATTTTTTTAAAACTAAAATTGTGTTCATATAAATTAGTATTTGGAATATAAATGTGGAGTATAATGAACGAGTTCAAATTTATCACTATTATCAAAAATGTGTACTTAGTAAGAAATATAATATAAAATTGTTTTTGTATGTATTATTTTAATTTATTTTTTATCTAACAATTATAAGATAACATTTACCATTAAAACTATGTAATTACGAAAAATTCAATTGGGAATAATAAAATGTCAGATATTCCCGTAGTAACATTATAGCTAAACCATAGGAAGTAATAAAACTTACATACACTAATAATTATCAATAATACAAAATAAAATTAATACGACTTTGAGATCGAACATTGCAGCGGCAAATCTCATAACAACGCCGATGCATTGTCAAGAAGACCTTGTCCTGAAGATTGCAAATATTGTACTAGGCAATAGAGTAAGGAAGTGGTATCCGTGAGGATGCTCAGGACTGATCACCTCAGCAACGAGTGGAAGGACAGCTTACAACATGCACAGTAAGAAGATCCGGACATCAGGCCGATTCTGCAATTGATGAAGGCCAGTGCTCCCAAGCCCAAGTAGAGCACTAAAAGCTATTGGGCCCAATGGGACAGCTTACTGCTTCAGGATGGAGTTCTGTGCCGTAAATGGGAAAATGTCTGGGGAGACAACTGTCATTTGCAAATGGTTGTCCTTAAAGCTAATGTACCGGATCTTCTACAGCTGTACCATAATGATTGTTCAGGAAGCCATCTGGGAGTTAAACGAACTCTATTGAAGATCCGAGAACGGTTTCACTGGGTCCACTGTCGAAACGATGTTGAGGACTGGTGTCGCAAATGTACAAGTTGTGCGTGTGCTGTGCGGCTGTAAAGGGACCTCATACTCGTAGTAGAGGTGCATTGAAGTTGTACAATGTTGGTGCACCATGGGAGAGAATAGCCATTGACGTGGCGTGGCCGTTTCCGGAGAGTGAAAGCGGTAACAAGTATTTCATGGTTGTGATGGATTACTTCACTAAGTGGCCAGAAGTCTTCGCCATTCCAAATCAAGAAGTTTTAATAGTTGCAGATAAACTTGTTCATGAAGTCTTCTGACGTTTTGGAGTACCTTTAGAGATTCACAGTAATCAAGGAAGGAATTTTGAGTCTCAAATGTTCTAGGACACTTGCCGAGTTATGTGTACCCATAAATCAAGAACGACTTCTTATCATCCGCAATCTGATGGAATGGTAGAAAGATTTAATCAGACATTAGAGAGGTACCTAGCAAAAGTTGTAGCCAATCGGCAACGAGATTGGGACCAAGCACATACAACCGTTTTTGTTGTTATATCGAAGCGCTGTTCACGAAAGTACATCAGTGACACCAGTTTTCGCAAAATTTGGAAGAGAATTACGACTGCCTGCAGACCTGATCACCGGGATACCACCTAATGCCTTACGCAGTATAACCGATTATGCAAATGACTTGCGGAACAAAATGAATGACATTTATGAGCACGTCAGATAATCGGAACCGCAAATGTCTGAAAAATGAAAGCCCGGTATGACCGCAAAATGAACAACAAAGGTTTCGACGAGGGTTCACTAGTGTGGTTTCACAATCTAGGCCGCAGCAAAGGGAAATCTCCTAAGCTTCATGCTAAATGGGACGGCCCGTACCGGATTGTGACCAGGATCAACGATATAACCTACCGGATACAGAAAGGTGCAAGAGGGACTCCTAAGATCATCCATGTAGATCGCCTGGCGCATTATTATGGGGCCGATAATGCTCGGGACGAGCATGTCTTAGGAGGGGGCAGTGTTGCGCCCCTAAGTTGACGGCTGGTACCTGGCACTAGCGCCATCAAGTGTCGGGTAACAAAGCGAGGAGAGCTTTCCAGAAAATGTCCATCTTGACTTTCGACCAACAGCGCCATCTAGTATTGAACAGAAGAATTAAGCTTTCAAGAAGCCCCATACTCGAACTTTTTGCATCTAGTCGGTCGGCGCCCGTAACTACGGGAATATTCTGGATGTTTCGCTGTAAAAATATATTTAAACCCGCTGCGTGCCGCGATCGGGGCAGTATTGAATTTGGCGAGACAAGCGAAGCTTCGGAGCGAAATAAAGTGAATCAGTGCAGTGTGATTAATTAATTAATAATTATTAGTGTCTTTTAAGTTTTAATTAGTGAGAAGTGAATTAAAGTGTTAATTTTAGTAATTAAATCGGCAGTTTTTATTGTCACGAACCCTAAACTCGTAACAATATGTAGGCTCAGAAGTAAATACTTATAAGATAGATAATACATATAACAAACAGAATAGATGGTAAGACAAATAGACATTTGAGTGTTTTATTTTACAAATTCGAACACGCGTGTAGCAGGCCGTTATCCTTATTTTTTTTTTATAGAATAAGGGTCAAAGGCGAGCACACAGTCCACCTGATGGTAAGTGCATAGTGTGGCCCAGACATCTAGATCTTTCTTCAATTTAGCATCAAAATGCAAATGCCTTATCGCCCTTCAAAATGGAATGCCTCATTTCCAGTAATAAAGGTTTTCGGTTGAATAGACGATAAGTACGTCAAGACCCATTTGTGAAGAACTAATGAAGTATATTTGTACAAAATGTTGTAATTAAATTTTATGTACGAGTACAAAGTGTCAGTGTGTAGAATGTTGATAAGTGTGCTTTTACTCTAAAGAATACATAATACATAAACACCCGTCACCCAGAGAGGTAGGCAGAGACTACATACTTCCATTTAGCACGATCCTGACATACCTCTCTCGCCTCTTCCACATCCATATACCTAGGCATACATGCTCGTCGGTTAAGGGTACCCTGAATTTGGCCCATTTTTAGTATATCGCCAATTTGGGCGACAAACTTCCTCCTAAGATGTCCCTTTCCGACTCTTCCATTCACTTCTGCAACATATATTTACTTTGTCAGTCTTTCCGCATTCATTCTTTCTACATGACCAAACCACCGAAGCATTCCTTCCTTAATCCTGATCACTGCATCATCTTGCAAACCACACTCTTCTTTTATCACACATTTTCTCACCCTGTCACTGCACATCCCAAATTTTTTCATCACTTTCTTTCATAACTCTTTTAATTAGTACCTTAGCGTAAAGTTTTCCCACAATGCTAAGAAGGCTGATACCACGGTAGTTTTTACAGTCCTGCTGTGACCCTTTTCCCTTATATATTGGGACTATCGCGGCTTTGCTCCAGTCTCCCGGTACCCGCTTTAGTTCCCAACATATATTAAACAAGGTATACAGCAGGCCTGCCACCGTGTCCTCTCCAACTCTTAGCATTTCGAGTGAAACTCTATCATATCCGGCTGCCTAACCTACTTTCATGCTTTTCATTGCTTTCATTATTTCATCTATACTTATCTCCCTGTCTCCTTCATCTTCCTTCGGAATTTCTATTTCATTTAGTTCACACGTCTCCTCACTTATAAATACACTTTCAAAATATTCCTTCCATCTCTTTAGACTCAACAATTCATCATTCGTATCACATTCAATCTAGGCTGTTTTGAATGTCCCCTGGTATTTCTTACAAGTTTCCAGAATATTTTAATATTTGCCTGGAAGTTATACGATATTCTTCTATCATCCTTATCCGGTATTTCTTGCTTTTTCCTTTCAACTAATTCTCTTACTTTCTTATTTAGACGTTTAAACTCTGCCTTTTTTTCTTTCAATCTTATCATTCTTACCACCAGAATTACCAGCTTTGGTCGCTAGTAAATCTAGCCATGCTTTTTTCTTTGCTTCAACTTTCATACGCACTTCATCATCCCATCATAACGTATTGTTTTTCCTTTCATTCTTTCTCTTACTAACACCACATACTTCGGTAGCTGCATCCACTAAACCTTTCTTAACATTATGCCACAAATTCTCCAAGTCTAACTCATTCATACACAACTCATCAAAATCACTTATATTTTCTCTCAGTCTACATTTGTACTTACTACGTCTTTCACATCATCATCTTGTAACATTTAAATTCTTATACGCTGTAACGCAGTGGTAGACACAGACGTCCGATGCCGCCAACGTCTGAATAAACCCCTAATTCGGCATAAGACCAGGTAGTGGTCCGTCCCTACATTGGACCCCCGGTAAACCCTTGTATCCACCACTGCGCTCCTCATTCTTTCATCCACAGTTATGAAATCTATCATGCTTCTATCATCACCTCTTTCCTAAGTATACATGTGAATCTTCTTGTTGTGAATATTCGTCACAAAAAGATTCCTTTCCACACATACGGTGAGGAGGCTTTCACCATTCTCATTAATACTTTCATCACCAAATGTTCCCAGTATCCTTTCATAGGCAAGCCTCCTCACACCAACCCTTCCATTAAAATCTCCTAACATAACAATTTTCTTTTCCTTACATTTCATTCATGCACTCCAAAACTGCTCTGGGATATAAGTGGGCTTAGACGTGTCTGGGGCGTAGACCCCTAGGACAAACAACTTCTTTAGGCCCACTTTTATTCGTATCCATAGCAGTCTCGGGCTTACACATTCATACTCTTTCACACATTGACCCATTCTTTCTGAAAGGATGATGCCGACTCCCTGGCATCACTAAAGAAGATATTATAATTTTGCAATTTTTCCAAACAAATAACTATGATCCTTGTTATATCTTAAATTTTGCATAATTTTGTAACAGCTTTTGCTTAAATAAACCAATAAATATTAGTTTTTGATTTAATAATATATTTCTTTATACATATAGAATCTTAACGAAAAAATAAACATTTACATTTATTAATATTATTATAATTAAAAAGTTATGATATCATACTGGGTTCAGTGGACCCGTTAGCGAGTACTTGTGCTACAAGTTAGGACGCGAAT